TTACATGTATAAAAGACACCTGTCCACAGAAGCAATCAATCAATCAGATTCCAAACTCTCCACCATGGCCAAGACCAAAGAGCTCTCCAAGGATGTCAGGGACAAGATTGTAGACCTACACAAGGCTGGAATGGGCTACAAGACCATCGCCAAGCAGCTTGTTGAGAAGGTGACAACAGTTGGTGCGATTATTCGCAAATGGAAGAAACACAAAAGAACTGTCAATCTCCCTCGGCCTGGGGCTCCATGCAAGATCTCACCTCGTGGAGTTGCAATGATCATGAGAACGGTGAGGAATCAGCCCAGAACTACACGGGAGGATCTTGTCAATGATCTCAAGGCAGCTGGGACCATAGTCACCAAGAAAACAATTGGTAACACACTACGCCGTGAAGGACTGAAATCCTGCAGCGCCCGCAAGGTCCCCCTGCTCAAGAAAGCACATATACATGCCCGTCTGAAGTTTGCCAATGAACATCTGAATGATTCAGAGGAGAACTGGATGAAAGTGTTGTGGTCAGATGAGACCAAAATGGAGCTCTTTGGCATCAACTCAACTCGCCGTGTTTGGAGGAGGAGGAATGCTGCCTATGACCCCAAGAACACCATCCCCACCGTCAAACATGGAGGTGGAAACATGATGCTTTGGGGGTGTTTTTCTGCTAAGGGGACAGGACAACTTCACCACAACAAAGGGACGATGGACGGGGCCATGTACCGTCAAATCTTGGGTGAGAAACTCCTTCCATCAGCCAGGGCATTGAAATTGGGTCGTAGATGGGTATTCCAGCATGACAATGACCCAAAACACACGGCCAAGGCAACAAAGGAGTGGCTCAAGAAGAAGCACATTAAGGTCCTGGAGTGGCCTAGCCAGTCTCCAGACCTTAATCCCATAGAAAATCTGTGGAGGGAGCTGAAGGTTCGAGTTGCCAAACGTCAGCCTCGAAACCTTAATGACTTGGAGAAGATCTGCAAAGAGGAGTGGGACAAAATCCCTCCTGAGATGTGTGCAAACCTGGTGGCCAACTACAAGAAACGTCTGACCTCTGTGATTGCCAACAAGGGTTTTGCCACCAAGTACTAAGTCATGTTTTGCAGAGGTGTCAAATACTTATTTCCCTCATTAAAATACAAATCAATTCATAACATTTTTGACATGCGTTTTTCTGGATTTTTTTGTTGTTATTCTGTCTCTCACTGTTCAAATAAACATACCATTAAAATTATAGACTGATCATTTCTTTGTCAGTGGGCAAACGTACAAAATCAGCAGGGGATCAAATACTTTTTTCCCTCACTGTATAATATATACATACATATATATACACTTATCCTTTAAAAAAATATATTTCCCTTTATTACTTTCCAACCCCACCACCCCTTCCCTAATTGGAGTAAACTAGTGAACAACAATGCTTTGGCCTCTACTTCCAGCTTATACATACTATATACATTTTATGGACACAGTCAATTTTACAATAATTATATTTTGTTTGTTTTTACTCCTGAACTTCCTCTACCCTCAACCTCTGATCATTTTTCATGATGTCCATCTGGTTTGCTTCTATATGCCATATCTTTCTAACTGTGCTCTTTCACAAAAGCTCTCAACCTATAACCTATATACTTATTATGGACACAGTATGCTTTACATTAGTTATCTTGTTGTTATTAGTTGTTGTTAGTTGTTATTAGTCCCATCCTTCAACTCCATTCAACACCACCCATCTATCTCTTAACACCATCCATATTGGATTTCTATTTGCCATATATTTTTCAACTGTACTGTGATGTTTTACAAAATTTCTGAACCCTTCTATTCTCATTGTTTCTACAGATTGTAAATTGAAAATAAACATTTTTGCTAAAAGTATTATTATATTATTGATCGATTGACTATGACTTTTCAGGTCACCCAGTAGTGCTATCTGCAGGGTTAGCTCCAGGTAAATATTGCAATCCTTTAGCCATTCCTGGACCTGTGTCCAAAAACAAGCTACAAATGGACAGTACCAAAACAAATGATCTAATGATTCTGTCTCTTCGCAGCAAAATCTGCAGAGCTGGGAAGATTGTATCCCCCATATAAATAACATTCTATTGGTAGCAAAATGTTGTATAATAATTTAAATTGAAAAATTCAAAGTTTTGAATCCGGCGTCGTTTTGCGTATCAGTTCATAAACACTATGCCATGGAATCGGTACGTCAAAAATCTCTTCCCAACTATTTTGCAATCTATATGGGACGGCTGTCAATCCTTTGGTCCTTAAATGAAACTGGTATACTTTTTTATTTATCACAATTTTCCTTAACCAATTGTGTTCTTTAATGCTGGGCCGACAGACAAGTTCCTTACTTTTTCCCCCTTCCACTTTCCTCTTCCATTTTTGCGGTAATGCTTCAATTATTTGGTTGTAATTTGGGGTAGAGCAGACATTTCCATATGTTTTTGTTAGCTGCATGTGCGACATAACTCCACCAGTCCTACCTATGATATAATTTACGAAGATTATACCTTTTTTAAACATTTTAAAAAAGAATAATGTTTTTTTAATCAATTAGTATATTTGAGTTTAACCACAATATTTGTTGCATTATTTGTTCTGTCGTTTCTGGAGTATTAAATTGAAATTGCAACCAACTTTCTATGACTTGTTTTAGAAATAGTGATATTTGGGAGATTATTTGCTTTTCAAATTACTGAAAGTGAGAGGTTGTAATCTGAATAAAGGGAAAAAGGCCATTCTTGAACATTGGGTGAGACAATCTTAACAATTTGCTAGAGAACCAGTTCGGATTTAAGTATAACTTTTGTATGACTGAAGCTTTTAGTGATAGGTCTAAAGCTTTAATATTTAATAATTTCTGTCCTCCGAATTCATATTCATTATATAAATAGGCCCGTTTAATTTTGTCTGGCTTGCCGTTCCAAATAAAATGGAATATTTTATTCTCATATCATAAAAAAAAAACTGTTCGCTAGGCGTAGGCAAGACCATAAGCAAATAGGTAAACTGGGTAATACTAAAGAGTTAATGAGGGTGATTTTTCCACAAATTGACAGGTATTTACCTTTCCATGGTAGCAAGATCTTATCTATTTTTGCTAACTTTCCATTAAAATGTATTGGAGTGAGATCATTTATTTCATTTGGGATATGTATTCCGAGGAGCCTTTCTTAGTCCAGGTAGTCCCTCCATGTTTGAGTCAGTTTTCTTCCATTTGGTGCCTAATAAACACAACCCAGGTTACACCATCGCAGATGTGCAACTTCATGGTTTGTTATTCTATTTGAAAGTGAGCACAAAAATGTGTCAAATGTTTGATTGCCAGTACAATAAATGGTCTGGAGCTTTTAAAAAATCCTTCCAAAAGACAGTCATCTGTGACACACAGAGAAGCAAGTTAATATAAATATATTAACAATGCACACAGGTACACACAGGCTCACACACACACACACAACCATATTTCCATCCTGATGGAATCGTTCTGATTTAGCTCCTCTCACTGAATCCTGATACATTAATCTTCTGTGGTGTCATAGAACCATTAGTCCTATGCCCTTTCCCATAGAGGCCCCTAGGCTCACTCTAATTTATTAATATGTTTTAATTGCTGCTAAATCATGGCAGATATCAGACTTTTCATTTGTCAAGTCAGGGCATTAAATAGACCACTGTATCATGTGCTGTCAGCCGTCTGATCTAGCTTCTCTCTGCTTTATGACCAGTGAAGGTTGGTGTGTAAAGGACCGAACACCTGAGCAGTTGAGGCTACGCTGAAATATATGTAGGGCCTATAATACAATACATACGTTTCAAGAAAAGGCTAATTGAACCTTGAACAAATGATAGGCAAGTCCAGTACATATTTAGCTGACTATAGGTCAATGTCATGCATGAGTTCAATATACAGTAAGGCTCCATGGGTTTTCTTGTGGGTGAATGACTTTGCCTGCTTGGGTCTCATTTGGCACCATTTTCACCATGCGACTGGTGAGCACTCTAGCACAAAATGGCTGCCGTGCATCACCCAGGTGGGTGTCACATATTGGTAGTGGTGATGTGGGGTAAAGACAGTCCTCCTATTAAATGCAATCTATCCATCCACTGTAAGGTCAGTATTTAGATTTTGGCTCATTATAGTTGTAAGGAGCCCTCGTGATACAATCAAGTCTCTACCACAATGACAAAATGAAAACATTGAGAAAACGACTTGCACTGTCTCAAACAGCTCGTCTTATGGGTCTCATGTAGCACATAATGATACGATAACGATCACTTAAAGAGCTCTGAAATGCTGCACAACACTGACTATAAATCAAGTGAAGCGATTTTCTTTGTCACACTCTCACACCTTCAAAGGCACAGGCACAGGCAAATGGTTGTGTCTACTCAATGAGTAAGCAAGATAACTTAACTTGGCTCAGCGAAACAAGTAAAAGTTTTCGCTTCAATGACCACCTCAGAGTACGTAAAAATTACAAAAGTCAACTTCATATCACAACCTTGAAAGTTTAAATGACAAGTATTATTACCATAGGTAATAACTTTCATAACCAACTTTGAGTGTGACAAGGTTTAATTACAAATGAAAATATGAAGAAAAAAAAGCATGGCATTGCTAGCTTAGCATTTAGCCTACAACTAAACGATTCAAACTACTTTGGCACATGAATGGAAGTAAGGCATTTGTATCATTCAGGGCTCCAAAAAGTAAATAGCGCATTCATCTGAACATCCACCTAAAATGTACAACCCAAGCAGATATCTTCAGAAGTTGACAGCACTTGACCTAACACAATGTTCATCATAACATGCGCCCAAACAACAACAAATTATGTTCCCAAATTATTGTCTTGCCTCCAAAATGGAAAGTCTGTACCATGACTTTCCCAGTTAGAAAAAATTATAATTGTAGATGGGTCATTTGGAATGGAGCAAAGACAGCTTATTTTATTTATAAACAAGATAGTAGCCTGACGTTCTGTCACGATGTAGACCTGAACGTTGACAATGCGATGGTGAGGAGCAGAGAGACAGGGGATGTGTTCAGACTCCAGGCCCTCGAGCCTCGCGCACTCATACCTAGAACAAAGCACAACGCCAACATTAAGGATTTATGAAACAGAGATAATACCTCGTCTTAGGTATTTGACCCATGTAATGTTCTTTCGTATGTGATTTTTTTGTTCTCCTATTTTTGTTCTTGTTTTTATATAATAGAGCAATAGATAGCAGTTATGAGAGGCAGACAGATCGAATAGTGAAGGGATGGGACTAGGGAATCGAACCCTGGTCTCCAGGGGCACTTCCTGCACCACCCATGTCCTGCTAATATGATTTTGAAAACAAAAAAGAAGTACAAATACAGGATTTCTCTATATTTCAATAGAGGGGGGGAAACATTTCGTATCTGAAATGAAATTTTATAGAAAAGGCCAGTTTGGAATGCAATCCTCTCCATCCTTTTCAGTGGCTCAACACAGAATATCAATATTACAAAATATAGCTGCAAGCAGCCATTGCGGGGTTCAAACCTCATGGCACCACAGCGCCACTATCAGGACAAAATGGATTCTCGATGAGCTACTTCTGTACTCCTTAAAGCTACATCCTTAGTTGAAACAATAATAAAGCGGCACCCCGCCTCTGTTTTGGTAAAAAGCTGAGGGATGGGCCTGGAGAAATGTAACCACTCTCAAATTCATAGACAGAGCTATGGATATAAGGACTGACCAGCCATGATGTAAAAATTATATACTGAACAAAAATATAAACGCAACATGTAAAGTGTTGGTCCCATGTTTCATGAGCTGAAATAAAAGATCCCAGATAAGGTTTATTTCTCTCAAATTTTGTGCACAAATTAGTTCACATCCATGTTGGTGAGCATTTCTCCTTTGCCAAGATAATCCATCCACCTATCCGGTGTGGCATATCAAGAAGCTGATTAAACAGCATGATCATTACACAAGTGCACCTTGTGCTGGAGACAATAAAAGGCCACTCTAAAATGTGCAGTTTTGTCACACAACCCAATGCCACAGATGTCTCAAGTTGAGGGAGCGTGCAATTGGCATGCTGACTGCAGGAATGTCCACCAGAGCTGTTGCCAGAGAATTGAATGTTCATTTCTCTACTATAAGCCACCTCCAATGGTCGTTTTAGAGAATTTGGCAGTACGTCCAACCAACGTGTAACCACGCCAGCCCAGGACCTCCACATCCGGCTTCTTCACCTGCGGCATCATCTGAGACCAGCCACCCGGACAGCTGATGAAACTGTGGGTTTGCACAAACTGTCTCAGGGAAGCTCATCTGCGTGCTCGTCGTCCTCACCAGGATCTTGACCTGACTGCAGTTCGGCATCGTAATCGACTTCATTTGGCAAATGCTCACCTTCGATGGCCACTGGCACTCTGGAGAAGTGTGCTCGTCAAGGATGAATCCCGGTTTCAACTTTATGGCATCGTGTGGGTGAGCGGTTTGCTGATGTCAACATTGTGAACAGAGTTCCCCATGGTGGCGGTGGGGTTATGGTATGGGCAGGCATAAGCTACGGACAAAGAACACAATTGCATTTTATCGATGGCAATTTGAATGCCCAGAGATACCGTGACGAGATCCTGAGGCCCATTGTCGTGCCATTCATCTGCCGCCATCATCTCATGTTTCAGTATGATAATGCACGGCCCCATGTCGCAAGGATCTGTACACAATTCCCGGAAGCTGAAAATGTCCCAGTTCTTCCATGGCCTGCATACTCACCAGACATGTCACCCATTGAGCATGTTTGGGATGCACTGGATCGACGTGTACGACAGTGTGTTCCAGTTCCCTCCAATATCCAGCAACTTCGCACAGCCATTGAAGAGGAGTGGGACAACATTACATAGGCCACAATCAACAGCTTGATCAACTCTATGTGAAGGAGATGTGTCGTGCTGAATGAGGCAAATGGTGGTCAAACCAGATACTGACTGGTTTTCTGATCCACACCCCTACTTTCTTTTTAAAGGAATCTGTGACCAACAGATGCATATCTGTATTCCCTATCATGTGAAATCCATAGATTAGGGACAAATGAATTTATTTCAATTGACTGATTTCCTTATATGAACTGCAACGCAGTAAAATCTTTGAAATTGTTGCATAATGAGTTTATATTTTTGTTCAGTGTACTTTTAACCATGTTTTGAGGCTATACAGTGTTTGTTTACATTTACATTGTTTACAACATTGGAGTAAAACAAGCTTATATCTTGGGTTCTGATGGGGTACGACAGTTGAACTAAGCTCATGGAGGCATATATAAGTTATATTCTTCAAGAATCAACGGGTATACACAGTGTACAAAACATTGGGAACACCTTCCTAATATTGAGTTTGCTGCCTTTTGCCATCAGGACAGCCTCAATTCATCGGGGCATGGACTAGGCGGTGTCAAAATTGTTCCACAGGGATGCTGGCCCATGTTGACTCCAAGGCTTCCCACAGTTGTTGTATCAAGTTTTGTTACAATATAAATATCCATGTCGGATTCATATGCATTTATGCGTCAGGTCACTTTAATGTTTATTTGTCCATAACAACCTGTGTAGCTCAGTTGGTAGAGCATGGTGTTTGCAACGCCAGGGTTGTGGGTTCGATCCCCAGTATGAAAAAATGTATGCACTCACTAACTGTAAGTCGCTCTGGATAAGAGCGTCTGCTAAATGACGTAAATGTAAATGTGATGTTGTTTGAGATACTAGTCAGATAAATGTTGTTTTGGGAGACCTTGGTCCATAGATGCTATATATCAAGTTCCATCCAGGTCAGCCCAGTGCTTCCGGAGGAGATGTCATTAAAGTGTTTCCCACAAAATTCTAAATGGTGGAAAATCCATAATGGCGAACCTATGTACCGAATTTTGCGACTCTAGGTCAAACGGGGTGAGGGGCATTAGCTTAAAAAAAAATCATTTTCAATTGTGTGTTATAGCGCCACCATCTGGCCAACTGGCATGGCATTGCATGAGAGGGTTTCTCGAAGCTTTGCTGCTTGATCTCCTAATAATGAACTTCAACAAAAACAATAAACAGTGCTGGCTCTAGCCTTTAGGGGGACCCAAGCGAGCTTCGCTGCTTGAACCTCTAATTAGCATTTAAAGGAAAGGAAGAGGTCTCCTCCTGTAGTCTCCCAGGAAGGTAATATAGTATCCAGAGAGAAGGGAAGCGAAACTTAGTGACAGAGATAGATTGTGCTGCATATTTCAGCAAAATACGAGCCTGCGGAGCCCAAAAGAGGGAAAAGTCTCTTGGCTAAATTATCAAGTTCCTAAATGACTTAATCTAGAGAAAAACTGTTGAAAAACTGTTTTCAGCTTGATGGAAACAGTGTTTCCAGTGCTATCTCAGCTGTAACTACCTGATGGTAATATAATGGTAATATGCACTCACATAATATACAGTTGAAGTCGGAAATTTACATGCACTTAGGTTGGAGTCATTAAAACTCGTTTTTCAACAAATCCACAAATTTCTTGTTAAACTATAGTTTTGGCAAGTCGGTTAGGACATCTTCTTTGTGCATGACACAAGTAATTTTTCCAACAATTGTTTACAGACAGATTATTTCACTTATAATTCACTGTATCACAATTCCAGTGGGTCAGAAGTTTACATACACTATGTTGACTGTGCCTTTAAACAGCTTGGAAAATTCCAGAAATGTATGTCATGGCATTAGAAGCTTCTGATAGGCTAATTGACATAATTTCAGTCAATTGGAGGTGTATCTGTGGATGTATTTCAAGGCCTACCTTCAAACTCAGTGCCTCTTTGCTTGACATCATGGGAAAATCAAAAGAAATCAGCCAAGACCTCAGAATAAAAATTGTAGACCTCCACAAGTCTGGTTCATCCTTAGGAGCAATTCCAAACGCCTGAAGGTACTACGTTCATCAGTACAAACAATAGTACGCAAGTATAAACACCCTGGGACCACGCAGCCGTCATACCACTCAGGAAGGAGACGCGTTCTGTCTCCTAGAGATGAACGTCATTTGGTGCGAAAAGTGCAAATCAATCCCAGAACAACAGCAAAGGACCTTGTGAAGATGCTGGAGGAAACAGGTACAAAAGTATCTATATCCACAGTAAAACGAGTCCTATATAGACATAACCTGAAAGGCCTCTCAGCAAGGAAGAAGCCACTGCTCCAAAACCGCCATAAAAAAGCCAGACTACGGTTTGCAACTGCACATGGGGACAAAGATCGTACTTTTTGGAGAAATTTCCTCTGGTCTGATGAAACAAAAATAGAACTGTTTGGCCATAATGACCTTCGTTATGTCTGGAGGAAAAAGGGGGTCGCTTACAAGTTGAAGAACACCATCACAACCGTGAAGCACGGGGGTGGCAGCATCATGCTGTGGGGGTGCTTTGCTGCAGGAGGGACTGGTGCACTTCACAGCATAGATGGCATCATGAGGAAGGAAAATAATGTGGATATATTGAAGCAACATCTCAAGATATCAGTCAGGAAGTTAAAGCTTAGTCGCAAATGGGTCTTCCAAATGGACAATGACCCCAAGCATACTTCCAAAGTTGTGGCAAAATGGCTTAAGGACAACAAAGTCAAGATATTGGAGTGGCCATCACAAAGCCCTGACCTCAATCATACAGAACATTTGTGGGCAGAACTGAAAAAGCGTGTGTGAGCAAGGAGGCCTACAAACCTGACTCAGTTACACCAGCTCTGTCAGGAGCAATGGTCCAAAATTCACCAAACTTATTGTGGGAAGCTTGTGGAAGGCTACCCGAAACGTTTGACCCAAGTTAAACAATTTAAAGGCAATGCTACCAAATACTAATTGAGTGTATGTAAACTTCTGACCCACTGGGAATGTGATGAAAGAAATAAAAGCTGAAATAAATCATTCTCTCTACTATTACTCTGACATTTCACAATCTTAAAATAAAGTGGTGATCCTAACTGACCTAAAACAGGGACATTTTCCTAGGATTAAATGTCAGGAATTGTGAAAAACTGAGTTTAAATGTATTTGGCTAAGGTGTATGTAAACTTCCGACTTCAACTGTAGATACAACTAGTTTTGGATATAAGCTGAGACAAGACTCTTGGTCCCTCCGAACTTGCTTCTCCTTTGTGCGCAGATCGTATTAAATCTACAAAACATTTCCAAGATCCATCCATTTCTAATAACCTGACCCAGTCCCGATGGGGATTGAAACGTCACATTGTCACATTAAGTTAGTCCAAGGGCCTGTTGTATTTTGTTAATATCTTCATTAACAAATATATTTTAGCTGAACCCAGATTAGTTAATGCTTCACATTATGAGCAGCTTACTTAGTTTGTGGATGCGGATGGGATCTGTGGCTGGGCCGAGCCCTCCCTCGCTCAGCGACCTGATGTGAATTACATAGTCGTCGTCGTCAACAAGGGTCAGCTCGGCTGTGGAATTGTTTGTCAAGAGCATGTTCTCTTCCTTATGTTTCAGACTCCTATAAGACAGCTGATGGGGGAAAAAGAGAAAACATGGAGTAGCATTCTTCATTATCAGCAAGTTCTCTCTGTCTGGTGAAGAATTAGGATGGGATTTATCATTAGAAACTATACAAGGTGGTGGACCAGACGACCACGCAAGGTATGTGATTCTTCCTGGACATAACGGAAATATGTAGGTATTGATCAATAAGTACAGCAGATATTGATAAATATGTAGCTGGACTAATTTGCCATTACTAGTTTTGAAGTAAGTGGGAAGTCTGAGGATAATATAAACTCACCTGATAACCGGTGACCTCTGACTCTGTTTCCATGGCTACCACCGGCTCCCAGTATATAGTGATCTGGGAGCCAATCAAGGTCCACTCAACATTTAGAGGAGGTTGTCCAGGTGCTGTTGGACACAAGCAGCATTCTGTCATTAAGTTTCTTTGTATGTTACCATAACAAGTCATGACCTCTCCCAGTCATCATCACCAGTCATTGTATCTCTATGGCCTGGCTCATTCTACTCAACACACTTTTCTCCTGACAGCTACCCACCATGCAGTTAGAATTGACCTTTAAATAAGAGCTATTTCCCAACCACTGCCGTGACAAAAAGTAAACGTGCTGAAATAGAACCCTACATAGAATGGAGAACCCTACACCCTCTGTCCACTACACCTTTGTCCAGTTTATTAACAAATGTTCCCTTTTGCTGAGCAATTGATGGAATTCCCTCCATTGACCGTCTAGGTCCGTATTTTAGTGTGTTCAAGACACCTACGTGATTTCTTGGTGGTGGCGTTGATGGCTGGGAGGAAAGGGCCAGTACCAGCTGTGTTGAAAGCGCTGACTGTGAGAAAATACTGAGTGTTTCGCCCTAAGCCACTGACAGTGACCGAGATTTGACTCCCAGGTACCCTCACTTTCCCCATTGTCTCTGGCTTGGTGTCATCCTCCCAGTACACCACCTGTTGAAATGGGAGGAAATGGGAGTTTATCTTTTAATGTATTACTTGAATAGGGACAGAAGCAAACACATTGACACACTGAATAAACAACCATCCGATGTTACAGACTTGTGGACATGTGGATACATCTCAAACTGGGGATTTGGTTTATGCTAATTCTGAGCTCTGATTGGCTATATGCCTTTTACTCCCGCCTCGCTCAAGGTAATTATTTTCATGAATCCCGAAGAGTGATGCTTTAAGCAAGAACTTGGTTAAGGTTAGGTTTAAGGTTAAGTTTAGGGCAGTGCTGCCAATTCTCACACATTGGGCGTGAGACACACACATTTGACCCTCTTCACACGCCACACCCCTTATTTCTCACGCATTGGAAAAAGTACTGCTTCTATTTTCTATTTAATCCAGTGAATATTCAGGGCATTGACTTTTCAACCGCGGCAGCTTCACCTGGGAGATACATAATTTTCCTGCCACCGCACTGTGAACCGCAGCAAATTTAAGCTTGTGATTGGTTTAGTAAGGGTCCGGGACAAAGGCGATTGGATGCGCGTTAGTAAAGAAAGACCTCCCACGATTAGAGTGGAGAAGGCAGACACGACAGACTGGACAAGCACGTTCGTTCTACACTGAACAAAGTTTATGAACTCAATTATCAAAGAGCAGCACAGCAACTTGTAGCACTGTTTTCGTACACATAATTGTCAACAAATTAATTTGCTGTCACTCCTGCCCCTGTCGCAAAATGCTTCCTTTTGACAGCATGTGATAATATAGCCTACCATAGTGATTTAATTCACCACTTGCATTAGCCCAGATCCATAGGTTACATTATTCACCTTGTTTGTTCAGCAGGAATTTTGGAAGGGTGACCTGATTTGTCTTACTGTATTATGAATATAATTTTGCCCAAACAGATTGTGAACCCAAACTGATTCTAGTGGGGGGAGGAGGGGGCAATACATTGAAAGATAATTGGGTTGGCTATATCATCTTGTCTTCAGGAGATCTTATTGTCTGTTTAATGTATTTGGTCTTTCACAATAGCTGATTTAAGTCATTAGAACAATATCCATCCCCTACAATGGGCTAAAATATAGACTAATTGGTGTGCCTATCTCAGCAAGAACACTACTGTTATTCCCCATACTTTTTCTATTTGACTTTTTACCAATTTTGCTTGTGTAATTCAATTTGAAATCTGATATGTCAATATGTCTTAGATAAAAAATTCAATGAGGGCTATTCAATGAGGGCTATTCATTTTTGTAAGCATTTATGGACAGTGCTGAATATAGGCTATGTCATAAAATGACAATAGGCTATATTGAAATGCCCCCTTGCCTCAAATATCCTGTTTTGTCATTGTATTATTGTGCATACGGTGCTAGGCAGATATGGTAGGTATAAATGCAAAAGATCTTGCCTATGTAAAGAAAGATGATGGAAAGGTTTTGCAAATCAGCCTCAACCACATGAAGATAGATATTCATTAGATCTTTCTTGAATGTGGGGTAATTTGTAGAAATCAAATGTCACATGAACATGTTCAAATCCCCAGTATTTGGGAAACATAGATCAGGGGTGGCCAACCCTCTTGGGGAGCTACCTCTATGTAGGAATTTCTACGTTCCTATTTTAAAGGGATAGTTCATCCAAATTAATGAAATATTTACATGTTTGTTTCTTATGGACAAGGAGAGACTGCAATCCATCCTATGGTTAGCCATAGCATTTTCCACCAGTTAGCCTACTCCAAATTTCATGCCCAAATAATCTCTAAGTAACTTCAAACCAAGTTGTTGAGATTTGAGTGTGTATTCAACTTTAAATTAATCCTGATTTAAAAATATGCGTATTCCAACCTGGTCATGGGCCAAAGCTGTGTGAAAATATATAGAATTGCAGGAAATTAACTTTTTGGGTGGAGCATTCAGATTTATGATAGGAAATCTCACTCCAAACTATCTTCAAAAGTTGGCAGCGATGGTTTAGGGTTAAGGTTCCGGAAAGTGGTTAAATGCTTGGCATGTTTCTGGCCCAAAAACACAGCCTGCGTTATGTGTTTGTGGTGTTGAGTACAGGTGACAGGAAGTAAAAAAACAGGTAGATCAGCAATTAGCTTTGTATTCTTTAAAAGGGCCAAAGTGCTCTCAGGATGCTGCTGTGAAGGCCTGTATATTTTGCCACACAAGTCATTCAATTAAATCAGCCGTTTCCATGGGAACATGACGTTTTGAAGTTGAGGCTTTGAGGTACACTGTAGGTGACGACAGGCATTGTAATTGTGTTGCACAAACTCGCTGTTTCATTTACATTTAAAACAGGAAATGTACCTCGTAGCCGAGAACTCTTTCAGGAGTAAAGGAGAGAGCCTGCCAATTCACTTCAATTTCTGAGGCGGAAACACTTCTGGCCCAAACTCCCCCTGGCATACCACTTGGCTCTGAAAAGACAACCAAGGAGAGTTTCACCCATTATTGAAAAACAGCCAAGGCAAACGACTCTCCAGGCAAAGACAACCCCTTTCAAACAAACATTTCTGATCCTTCAGTTTATTGTATTAACTTTGGTACTTTATTTAAAGTAACTGTTCAGTGAAAATCTCACTTTTAAAAGTTAATATTCTGTTAATTCATACCCAAATAATGTTGTTGACTCATCCTATACTTGTATTTGTGGGCAAAGCATACATTGGAGAAAAAACACTTCACAAACTCCACTTCAAACTTGTATCTCAAACAGACCTTTTAAAAAATGCTTGCTATTTCCTCATAGAGGATTATTACATTTACATTTTAGTCATTTTAGCAGATGCTCTTATCCAGAGCGACTTGCAGTTAGTGAGTGCATACATTTTTCATACCCTCTTGGGGAGCTACCTCTATTATGTCATCTTCCTGAAGAGGATGAGCTGGCCAATCAGCGGTCTACTCAAATTAATATGTTTTATGACTGGTATACGCCCACACCACTCCAACACAGAAAAGCTGATTTTTAACATACTTAATTCCCATTTTCTGGATGGAAAACTATTTCACTCATATTGTAATTCATTATAGGTCATATTTCATAGAAATCTGGAAACACTGGACAGTTACTTTAAGATGGTCCCCTATAGATGGTTTATAGATATTCAACGAACTAAACTAGCTATCCACTAACCCTAACTCTAGCCCTATTCCTTGCATGTTGTTGTATATCAATCAACAGAGTTGCAGTTGATAGTTTGAGTATTTGTAGACACTGTTTAGGGGGCTATCCAAATAAAATGGGGTACCCTTTGTTTTGATTGATTTATAGTTACATTTGAGTATATTATCATAATGTGAACCTCCCTAACATAACAATACATTCTTTCAAATATGTGAACTGGGTCTGTGTCTGAAATGGCACCCTATGGCTCAGGTCAAAAGTAGTGCACTATATAGGCAATAGAGTACCATTTTGGACACACAGTTCAATAGTCAAACAGTCTGGCTACATGGAATAAATCCTATCATACCCTTTCAAATTAGTGGTTGTGGAAACCAATGAAGCAAGGAAAGGAAAATGTTTAAGACTGTTGGGGAGTAGACATGGTTGACCTCTCACCTTCCTCTGCAGAGTAGATGGTGACCACGGGACTGAACGGGCCCTGCCCTTTGCTATTATAGGCTCCCACCTTCACGTTGAAGGGTGAGAAGGGAGCGATGCTGTCATTCCGGTACACATAGCGGGATGCCCCCGGAGCGGAGGTGGCGACGTGGGTCCAAGTCATCTCACCGAGGCCACGGAACGCGATGATGTAACCGAAGCTCTCACCGTTCTGCAGTTCCTCGGGAACAGGCTGGGAGTGAAACACAAAACTATAGTGATATTAAAACACATACAAAACACACATTCAGCGAGTCATCACGCCAGACACAATCACATCCAATCTCATACCCATGGAAGAAGTGCATGACCTGCAAATGTGTTTTCTTTGCTACCTGACCATAACTGAAATGAGCAAGAAAAGCAGATATTAAAACTATTGGGCTCATTATATATTTCCCTGCAGCCTTTTTAACGGAACATTATTCCCACAGTTCTTGAAATTAAACCTTTTCAATAATAACACTTTAGGTGAAGAGTTGTGGACTACAGGAAAAAGAAGAGGACCGAGCACGCCCCCATTCTCATCGACGGGGCTGTAGTGGAGCAGGTTGAGAGCTTCAAGTTCCTTGGTGTCCACATCACCAACAAACTAACATGGTCCAAGCACACCAAGACAGTTGTGAAGAGGGCATCACAAAACCTATTCCCCCTAAGAAGACTGAAAGGATTTGGCATGGGTCCTCAGATCCTTAAAAGGTTCTACAGCTGCACCATCGAAAGCATCCTGACTGGTTGCATCACTGCCTGGTATGGCAACTGCTCGGCCTCCGACCGCAAGGCACTACAGAGGGTAGTGCGTGCGGCCCAGTACATCACTAGGGCCAAGCTTCCTGCCATCCAGGACCTCTATACCAGGCGGTGTCAGAGGAAGGCCCTAAAAATTGTCAAAGACTCCAGCCACCCTAGTCATAGAATGTTCTCTCTGCTACCGCACGGCAAGCGGTACCGGAGCGCCAAGTCTAGGTCCAAGAGGCTTCTAAACAGCTTCTACCCCCAAGCCATAAGGCTCCTGAACATCTAATCAAATGGCTACCCAGACTATTTGCATTGCCCCCCCCCCCCCCCCCTCTTTTACATTGCTGCTACTCTCTGTTTATTATCTACGCATAGTCACTTTAATAACTCTAACTCTGACTAACCGGTGCCCCTGCACATTGACTTGGTAGCGGTACCCCCTGTATATAGCCTCGCTATTGTTATTTTTACTGCTGCTCTTTAATTATTTGTTACTTTTATTTCGTATTCTTTCTTAAAACTGCATTGTTGGTTAAGGGCTTGTAAGTAAGCCCTGTAAGGTCTACACCTGTTGTATTCGGCGCATGCGACAAATAAAATTTGATTTGATTTGAGTACAATTCTTAATGTATTTAGCTTATATAATAATTACATTATTTGTTTGGCACTTATGACGCCTAAACATTTGTTCTGATGTAACTTTGCAGTACTGCAGTTTGCAGCAGTGTGGGATTTCCAAGGTTCGGATTTGATTGAATTGTACCCTTTTAACCATTCAAAGTATAATTAATTGAAAACTGTGAGGTGTCATGTTCTGCTTGTGTTTGCCAAGGGCTTATACGGGCGCCTCAACTAAGGAATTACAAGCGCTGCTCCGGAGCCACATTTCAACTGCCCTGGATTTACAACACTCACAAGCCAACTAACTGATTTAATGTAAAATAATAAGCACCCTTTTTAATGACATGCAAGTAAGGACAACAGCTGCCCTTTAGAGGAGACTGGAGCATAAGATGACTTACCTCCCATGTAACAACCAACTCCGATCTGCTGCCGCCCCCTCCTCCAACATCAGTGGGTGCAGCATCAGGAACTACACAACAGACACCATGTTTATGACAACACTACATTTACATTTTAGTTATTTAGCAGATGCTCATATCCAGAGTGACTTACAGGAGCAATTAGGGTTAAGTGCCTTGCTCAAGGGCACATCAACAGATTTTTCACCTAGTCGGCTCGGGGATTAGAACCAGCGACCTTTCAGTTACTGGCACTATGCTCTTAACCACTAAGCTACCGCCCGCCCACTAGACTGCCATGTGGGCACGTCTTTTGTTTCAAATAGCTTGAGACATTTGTATTGTCAAAACTATTTGAAGCAGAACTGGGTTCAAATAATATTTGTTTTGCTTTATACTTTGAACATTGATTGAGCCTGTCTGGAGTTCCAGATGGTTGGGGTTTGTACTTTTGGGACATCCAATTCCATTGGTTCCACTGCGCCAGGCAAGCTCGTTTAAACACGGCTTAAGTATCTTTTATAGAAACAAATACTATTTGTGCCCGGGCCCGATTGGAGGAGGGTTGTAATCCAACAGCTGGGTAATTCCACCAGTTTAGTGCCTTTTGGGTAGTGTAATTTGCACCTATAACATTCTGTCATAAAGAGCACATGTTCAACTTCATAAAAAACATGTTTTCCCATTTCAAGAGGTTTAATGAAGAAAAATTAATAAAGTAAGTGCCAATTAAAGTAACAGGGTTGATGTAACAGGATTTAAATTAATCTTAAATCAGCCATTTCCCCTTGTGACATGGGGAATGGAAGCTTGTTGTGTGCAACAGGGAGGGGCAATTGAATGCAAGCTTCACACAATTTTTTTTACTGCTAAAACATTTCTAGCCTTCCTATCTATGGGTAACAGGGTAGACGTGTTATGGTCATCTGGCTCAGTTTTCCACCACAAAACACCAGAAAATGGCCAAAAGGAGTAGATCCAGCTCAGCTGCTTTTACACTATGATTTGAGTACTAGTTTGATCAATGTTTTTTTTAATTTTTTTTAAGGAATAGTTTCACCATATTAAAACGAGTGTTCAGTTAATTTAACAGGGTTGACCTTAAAATGAGGGACAAAGGTAAATTAATCTCTAATCACATTAAATAAATAATAATCTTCAGAAATGACTTTGTCAAAGCAAAGTAACTAGGGCTATACAGTAATGGTGAAAACTCTGGGAATTGTTTGGGTTAAGTGGGTAACGTTAAAACTCTTTCTAGAAGTCAGAAAAACATGAGGGACATGTTTGAAAATCAGATTTATTAACTTTTCCATGTGGTCTATATTAAAGGGATGAGTAAGTAATTTCAGAAGGTAGTAGATTCATTACTTACCAACAACAGCTGCAAATCCCAATAAAACTACATCACGTTTTGAAGTTCACTTGCTTTGTCTAATAACACTATTATGAATCTAGCAAAGATGTTTGTGGGTCAGAGTGCAGTATTTATTTTTGTCTCATTGCACAAACTTTTGCTAGCAAGTTTCTCACACTGGCTATAGCCGGGTGAGGGGCAGGCCTGCCTGGGCAAATCCAGGAGGGTTGCCTAGCAACCCGTGACTCGGAAAAGAGGAACATCTGCATGGTTTCCACTAGTTACCACAACGTCAAAATATGTGGCTATATCGTAAAAATTCATGAAAACAATGGTCTTAATTTAAGGTTAAGGTCAGGCAAAAGTTAGCAGTATGATTAAGGTTAGTGTTAAGGTTAGGGCTAGATTTTTAAAAACACATTTTAAGAAGAGAAATTGTAGAAATAGGCGGAGTTTATGACTTGTGGCAACTAGTGACGACCTGCCTGCATCATCCATGCTATCCGGGATCCTTGGGACGTCTCTGCATAGCGCGACAAATTCCCTTGATTCAATGCTAGGTTCGGACCAAGCAAGAAATGTAATGTCAGCGCTTGACTTGGGATGAAAGAGGTGCAGGAGCAGTGGTGACCCGTCATTCAGGGCAGGGGCAAAGCCCCACCTGTTTTGACCCCCACCTGTTTAGCTAAAACA